AGAAGTGAGAGCAAACGGCCAGGGAAGAAGCTATAGTGCTGTGAAACAGGAACCTTCACAGCTGAAAGCTTTTCTAAACGAAAGGGTTTATTGAGCCACACGGCAGCCTGAGAAGGATCAGCTCCTGGGGCGTGCAATCTAAACCACCAGCAGCAGGGCCGGGTGGAGAAGACAGCGTGTCCCCATCCGGGAATGACCGGGCTGCTTTATGCCAAGGAGTCTGAGGAAGAAGATGTAAGTCGTTTTGGAAGCGTTCGCACTGGCTGTGGCTGAAGGGGGTGGGGAGAGAGGAAGCGGGGCCAGTTTGGGGATGTAGGGGCGCGGTCTGTGAGGGAGCAGCGCCTGCTGTGCGGGGCTGGTGGTGGGCGACGGGCTGCAAGGTCCGCGTGTCAGCGAGTAGAGACGGCTGCCTGTTCTTTTTAGCTGCTCGCAGGAAAAGCTCCCTGGAAGTTTCGGCATGCATTCGGGAATGTTATCAGTCTTTCGCTGGTTTTGCCCTGCGGCCGTTAACTGATTAATCTTCCCAGTTTCACCCGTCCGCCCTCGGACCTGCTGTGATTTAATTGCGGGCATCTCAGAATTTTTTTCTTGTCAGTATCAAGAGAAAAACATCAGTTATGAACATTTTGGGGTTGATGAGTGTATGGCTCTGACAGGCGAGAGCACCCCAGTTTCTAGTTAACAATGATAAAAGGCTAACTTTGGAATATGTACTGTTTAAGGGGGTGGGGAGGGATGTACATAATACACGTTGTAGAGATTTCCCTAAAATAGTTCCAAAAATTTTAGAACATTTTGTTACGGCACGTTCAAACATCAGCGAGTAACGGGGACTCATTTGAAATGCATAAGCCAGGGAACCATGTACTTCTACGGGACCTTAAACAAATGAACCAACAAACAAAAACGGAAAAAAAAACCCAACCCCAAATAACTGTTTTTGCAAAACTTTGGAAGAGAAGGGCGAAGGCAAGAAGAAGAAATCTTCCAGGCAACACCGAAGCCCACCGTGATACAATGTGTCGCGGATGTCAGGCAGAAACCAGCAGCTCGGAGTGGAAACCGCACTTAGGGTGGAAGCGGGCACTGCCTCCTTGCTCTCGACTCCCTCCTCCCACTGGTTGTTTCTCTTGGGAAAACCCAGGGTCTGGGGCATTTAGGACGTAAACAGAGCGCATGGGTGACGGCAGATCCTGAGCCCTCCTCCCCTCCAGTGCCCTCCTCCCCTCCAGAAGCTGGCCTGGGGCGCAACCTGCCCCAGGCCCCGTGGGGACCCTGGCTGCGGGTACTCGGCACGGTCTCGGTGTGGCTCTGCCGATGGCCCTAGCACTCCTGAGTGTGGGAATCCATGGGGCTATTGTCTTGAAGGTGAAAATGAGTGGGGGTCATGCACGGGGGGCGGACTGTGGAGAGAGAGAAAAGAAAGAGCATGAATGGAGGGATGTCTGGCTTCCTGGTCCATTTTGTCCTGCAGTACGATGGGAAGGTCACCATCATCCACTAGGACACTTCGGGGGACAGTCTAGGATTTGCCTGCCCTCATCCTTGAGCTGGGAAGCAGACTCATTTTCTTAACCTCTTTGTGTCTGTTTCATCGGCTATAAATAGGACTATTGATAGTGCATGTTCCCTTGGATAAACGGAGATGGTAGCTATGATGCATTTACAGCAGGGCCCGGGAAGCTCTCAAAAACTGTTACCTGTTATTAATATTATTCCTCTACAGGCTTTGTGTCCTTCGGGGCCATGATAGGCAATGGGAGGACAGCTTTATCGGGCCAGAGGTCTCTCTTCTCATTTTCGAAACAGGAGTAAAATAGTAATAAAAGCGCCTCCCGAATAGAGAGAGACGTTCTCGCTGTGTGCGACATCCACACCTCCTGTTTCCCCGAACAGCCGTTTTCCTCGTCTTTCCCTGTTCGAGCAGCCAGCACCCATTTTACATGGCCACCTCTTCTCCCCGGAGAGACTCCGACTCCAACAGGACAGTGTCCACTTCTCAGACCTCCTCCGCGGGAGAGCTGGGCAACGCTCGGGAGGTTTGAGGAACCCCCGAGAGAGAGGGGCACCTGTCGGTAAAACAACAGGAATTCCACAAATGTTTGTTGACTATATGGATAAAAGGAAACCCACCATGATAACTGAACTTTTGGAAATCCAGGCTTCTACAGAAAGATCACGGGGACCAGATTTACCGAGGAGAAATGGCCGAGGGACACTCTGGACTGCTCCTCCCTCATTCCTCCGTAATTTAGGGGTGACGGATCCCACTTCCTCATTGCCCCCGCTGGGTCGAAAAAATCTGTGGTCCGCAGAGTAGGTGCTCAACACGTTGCTGAATAAACGGGAGGATGCGCGTGCAGAGAAAAAGACCTCAGTGCCCGCAAGGAAGGTCATCCTCCAGGGAATGTGTCACAGGGCCCTGAGGGTAGAGCACAGTGCGCCTCTGCCAGGGCAGTTAGGTGTTGTGACTTCTGGAAGACGTCACTGTGCCTTGACGGGCTATTTCTCAAGGCCCCTTGCTATACCAAATCCTCTAAGAGTAAAATTAATTTTGAGTCACAGGACAAGTCTTCCCATGTTCTTCAATATTGCTTTCCAGGCAAGGTCATCAACCTGTAGTGTTACTGTCCTAAGCCTCCCCTCCCTGTCAGGAGCCTGAGCGAGTCGGTTGTAGGGCAGACGCACGACACACCTCCCGCCATTGCTTGACTTGTCGGTCAGAAGTACCCCGTTCCTTCTCTTTTTAAAGGTCGCCACCCCTCCCCCGCCCCAGGGATGGTGGCCTTTCTTTTCCATTGCGACCCTTGCCTGTTCCCTCTTTGCTTGAGGCTGTGGTAGGTGGAAGAGACCAGATTCACGGCCTCCCGATTGTCGAATTAAGGGTGGTAGATTGCAGTCTGTATAATCTCTGGGGCAGTGGAAACGGTCCCCGTTTGTGCTCTGTTGGGTGTCTGCCATTCGTCTGCCTGTTTTTGCATTCTGGTGCCTTCTGCCCAGAGCAGGTGCGAAGGACCCCCCACTCTCGTACACTTTCGGCTCAGCACAGCCTTTGCTAGACCATGTTTTGAGGAGTCTTTGAGCGCAGAGCCACCTCTAACCAGCCTTTTGTGGTGTGCGTTGTGTGTGCGCCTGTGGGCGTGTGTGTTCAAACGTATAGGTCTGTGACATATGTCAGGAGCATTTCGATCTGCTATCCCAAGGCCTCTGGGCTCACTTTTTGCTTTGACTGAGATGACTTTAACCCCAAACCTCTGCTCTTCGCCCCTCTAATTGGGCAGCTTCAGTCCCTGCTCGGATGGATCAGGAGCGCTTCTCTGCAGCAGGCGTCGGGAAGGAGTCTGAGGCTCACCAGGGGAAGGTATCGAGCTCGAGTAGCAATGTCTTCAGTGGACGTAGAAGGGGAGAGCATGGGTGGGGGGCCTCTGCAGGCGGACTGGTGGGAACCGCTGTGCTCTTTCACCCAGCTCCTTGGGGAGGTCGCTATGCATTGATGGTCACATTGGGTGGTCGGACGCATTGCCAAATAGATAGTTCTTTTTTGTGCGACCAAGCTGGCCTGGGGCGGGGGGGGGGAGCTGTGACTAAACTAGCAACCTTGGCCTCTCTGGAGCTTTTTGTTATATGATTATATAATTATTAGAAAATAATTGTTCCAATTCCAAATCTCACCCTTCTACAAGAGGGATGCTCTGTCTCCCCCTAGTCCCGCGGGGTCCCGGAGGCGGGATGGCTGGCCCCTCGCCCTGTTTCCCGGTTCCGCCAGCTTCTCCTCAGCACATGTCGAGCTCACGGAAAGCATTCTTGTCCTCCCGAGGAGGGAAATAGGTGGTCTGGGGACATCGGATGCAGATGTTTCCTGGGCCAAGCCACAGAGCTCACAGGGTTTCGGGGGACCCCCATCAGGGCTCCGGTGATCCCCGGGGCCCCAGGCCAGTTAGATGTGGGCTCTGTAGTGCTCTCTCCTCCTACCTCACCTCGACCCCCTACTCCAGTCCAGACGGCGGCCCTGCTGACATTCGAGAATATGACTTTCTTTTCCTCAGGGAACAAAAAAGGCGCCGAACCCCCATTCTTGACTTCTGATTGCCCTCAGCATGGACGGGGAGGGGGACGGGGCCTGTCAGGAAAGCTGGACCCCGAGGGCGGAGCTCGTGGTGCGCGGAGCCGGCTGCCAGGCTTCCCCTCCGGGGAGCGGGAGCGGGGCTGGGCAGAGGAGCAGGTCCCAGCGGCCCCGCGTCGCCCGGGCTGCGAGCGATTCCTGCGCGGCGCTTACGCCTTGGCCCCCACCCTGCGGACTCCGGTCTCGCTTCAGACCCCTGGCCGGATCCCAGCCCCTCGCCCCGGGGTCGCGGCCTGTCCCCGGCCCGCCTTCCTCTCCCACCCTCCGCGCGCCCCACCGTCCCGGCCCTGGACGCGGTCTGCGTTTTGCGGGGAGGCCGGCGCGCCTCCCACCAGGCTCAGGCTGGGCCCCGCTTCTCCGATCGAGTCCAGCGGCCCTCGCGTCCAGCCCCTCCTCAGGGCGCCGGGCCCTTGTGGAAGAAATGTAACCTCTCTTAGCACCGGCCAAGCCTTTGTCTAAACAGACTCGCGACAGAATGAACAGAACGTCACTGACGGCGAGTCTCCACAGTCCCCCGGGGTAGTCGGACCTCGCGAAGCAGGTGGGCTCCAGCCCCTCCTGCAGACGGCACCTGTCGGGCACCAGGCCGCTGATCGCGGCTCCCACGATCGCCACCTTCCGGGCCATGTTCTGTCCTCGGGGGAAAATGCGGCAGAGCTTTATTTTCGTAAGTGGAGGCCGCACCCCATCCTCGGGGCTCTAGGAAGCTGGGAAAAAGATCTGGGAAGATTAAAGGCTTCGCGCTGTCGGATGGTCTGTGGCTGGGCGCTGGAGACGTGCCGGGTCCCTGGTGCAGCCCTGTGCTGGCGTGTGCCCAACCCCTCGCTTGCAACCCGTACCGAATGTCAGCACAGTTGTCGCTGTGACTGTCCCCTGTGGCGGAGTGGCTGAAGTCGGAGCACGGTGGGCAGAGCTTTGCCTTCTGGACATTGCCGCTCCTTCCAGCTGCACTTCACTAACCCGGAGAGGGACAAGGACCACCCTGCCAGCGCCCCATGTGCACGTCCATCCCTCCCCTGCGGCCAGCGTGCGGTGGGTGGGAGAAGAGAGAGGGTGCTTCCAGCGAGGGTGTGCGGCGGAAGCGCGGGCGTGGGGAGTCACCCCTCCTGTCCCCAGCAGGTGTGGACTCCCCTCCCAGGACAGGACACTGCCACCACTGGCACAGGTGTGGGATCGCCTGGCCCCAGGCTGTGAGTTGACACAGACTTATATGGACACTGAATGGCAATGGAGTTAAGCCACCCGGCTCCGGACCAGACTGGACCGGACCGCCCAGTTAAAGCCTAGCTCTGCCAGTTATTTCCGTATGATTTTGGACAAGTGATCGAACCCCTCTGTGCATCGTAAAAATGGAGAAGATCATAGTAGTTTCCTTGTAGTGTTTTGTGAGAATCAAGTTTCAGAACTGTTCCTGGCCTGTCGAAAATGCTCAATAAATATAAACTATTGTAACTATGAAAACATTTTCCAAAATCGGTTTCTTCTGCCTTTCGCATCAGCGAGCCTCTGTTCTTTTAATGCCTATAGCATTTCGGTCAATACATTTAACACTAAATCATGCAATTTTCAATATTGTTCCCTACCATGTTTTTGTGACATTTTATGTCCCCTAGTTAGTAGGTTTTTAAAGCACAAGGGTCACAGAGTAGATGCAAGAAGTGCTCCAAAGACATTGTTCTCCTGTACAGGAAAACAAATAGTAACAATACTCTGTGTCAAGTGCTAAGACAGGTATGTCTTACGTGCTGTTCTCTCGACGCCTGTGAAATACCACGCTCCCCACAAGAGGGGACTGTGTTATCACGTAGATTCTCACGATCACATCTGCCAGGCTCTGTCCATGAGGCTGTATGTGTCTCCAAAGCAAGGCATTTTCTTTGACTTGTCTCTTGCTTTCTCACAGCTTCCAGAAGCACATTTGGTCTCTAATAGTTGTTGCATAAACATTGGGCGATGGGTTGATTTCCTGATAGGTAAAATGAATTGATTCACCACCTTATATGCTTTTCAGTGAAGAAATAATTAATCGGACAAATATCTTCTGGAGGAGCAGAGTTTGCCAATCCAAAATATGCCTCTTTTGGATACTGATTATTTTAAGCTGGTTGTTTTTAAGAAAGGAAAAGCTCAGGAAAAACCTTTGACCTTTGACCAACTGGTTAAAGGGAATTTAGATGGAGGACCTGCTCCAGGAAGGATCGTCACAGGTGACTGCAGTTTAATTTGAGCCAGTGTGTGGTAGACGGGAAGAAAACCAACAAGGCCAGTTTGACCAAAGTCCTCTCTGTGTCCTGCTGTTAAAGGTGGCCCAGCAAACATTTATTTACCAAACATTTGCTTTTCTGTCTCTATTTGAATGACCTTCCCGCCTTGTGACGGCCCAAACCACAACCTCCACTTCTCCTTAGCCTAAGATGGCTTCTAAGCCTCAAATTCCTGATCTGTCCTGGGGGGGTCTCGCATTCTTATGGAACCCCCGTATGTACATATGTAATAAACTTAGACATTTTCTCCTGTTAATCTGTCTCATGTTAATTTGATTATTAGCCCTGCCAGAAGAATTTAGAAGAATGGGAGGAAAAATTATACCTCCCTTCCCACCCCAGAGCTAATTTCATGGGTCCTCAAAATGATCTCCTGCCAAACGTACAATAAATACAAAGGCTCTCCCCAGACCATCACTGTAGGTCAGTGTGGACCAGACGTGGCCAGCATTCTCGAGCAGTAAATCTCCCTGTGGCTTTTCATGGGACAGTAGGGGGAGTTGCGTGTCAGAGACCTGGACGTGGCGTTTGGCGTTGGCTGATAACCAGCAGTCATTTGTTTCTGTGCCTCAGTTTCTTTCTCTCAGAAATGAAGCTGGAAATAGAACCTGTTGTAAAAACGCATCAACGAATGTAGAGAAAAGCATTTAGCACGTGCTAATAGACATTGCTAGGTTGTTTTCGCATCTTCAGGAAAGTTTTTTAGTCTGATATTTTTGCGGATATCTATCTTGACAGTTTTTGGGTTTATTTACAGCATGTTTGGAATCAGAGCCATTGTAGAACACTAGAACTCTGTATCTAAAGATTGTCTCTCAGCAAGTGAAGAAAATGAGTAAGAGAATGCAAGAATGAGGGTGGCAGAAGGAGAAAGCGAGAAAAATAAAAACGGGCACAGAACAGGTTTCAGAGTAACTTGAAGGGCCTTTCTTTTTTTCCTTTCATTTTTTTGCTTTAGATCTGCTTGGTGAGTCATCAAGGTCTCATTTGAGTTGTTCTCATGATATATTGTAAGCACACAAGGTAAATACTGCCTTCACAGGTGGATGAAAATCATGCTTCTACCCTCGTTTACACGTATTGATAATTATGTAAAGCTAAAGTGATTAAAAAATTAGTAAGTACTTTTTAGGAAAAGTTTTGTCCTTCACTAAAAATCATTTCTAGTCAGTAACTGCTGCCCTTTTGACAGAGTTATCGATAACGCAGTAGGAGATTTTGTTAGTCTGAAAAGTTCACTAATGCCACTGGTTATCAGAGTGCTACTTCACACGCTACCACAAAAATAACATTTAAAGCGTTATTGCTCCTTAAAAGAATATTCAATAAAAATTCGGCCATTCCTTTATTGGAGATTTTAAAAGCAACATATTCTATTACTGTTACTACTATTATTATTTTAATGAAGAGAGCCTCCTCAAAGCTGACTCAGTGTGAAAGAAAGAAGTAATAAAAATTAAGAAAAAGTATGACTAAATTGGTAAGGTAGGTGTCACTGGGTGAAACTGAATTGATACAAATAATAAGTAAAATAACTTCCGCAACACAAAATCGCTACGTGAGTTGGGACATCACTGTCACTTGCATAATAGTTAATATTTTTCACCGTGGGGCTAGAAACTACTGTTCTTTTTCCTGGGCATTTTATACTGCTTCCTCTCTTCACAGAAGCAAAATGCAAATATGCAACGTACTGAAGTCAGACTGAGTGCCCACTTTGCTCTGTTAGGAGGGCGTAGGGGCTCAGTACGTGGGTCTAGGGCTGTCATTTCCAACACTGTGTACGGGGTGCTTAAGAATTTTGAGGAAAACAGAGTAATATTCTATGTCTGTTGAACACTGAGCGACAGATTAGCTGGAGGTTGTTCACAGTCTCGGTATTGGGTAGGGCCGAGTTGCACTTGATGCCGTCATATCTTTGCAAAGCCAGGTTTTTGGCAGGTGAGTGTAAAGAAGCAAGTGCTGCAGGAACCCTGGGGACGTCGGTTGGGGTGGAGCAGGGAGCAGAGGGACAGAGTGTGGTGTGACCTGTGGTCTGGGAGGCTGTGCAATGCCCAGCAAGCATGTACGCTTCATTATTAAGTAATGGTGATTACTCAAGCATAAAAGAAAAATATTATTTTTCTTTCAATGTGTGCATTATTTTTTCAAACAACGACAAAATCGTCAGAACAGAAATACTTAAGTTGTTTGCACTTGGCTACTTAATAAGAGAAGCCATAGCACAGGGGCTTTGCGGAAGAATTCTACACCAAAGCTTGAGCTTAGGAAGTTTGGGAACCTGAGTTAGAGTCTTACCTTCTGGACATGTTTTTACCTGACTGGGGACCTTATCTAATGGTGTCAGGAAAATGCAAATGATCGGGTATCTGAGTCCAACACTATATCAGTTAACCAGTGTTTTCTAACTGTTTCTAGTGTGACTCACCTATATATTTCCTAGGAAGCCACGTTCATTGGTGCTGTGAGACTTGTATCCAGCCCTTTATTGATACATTGCTCATCCCTCCCGCCCCCATCACACATGCACACACGCACACACGCACACACGCACACACGCACACGCACACCTTAGCACACAGATTCTGGCACAGACTGCACAGTGGTGCAATATCCTTAAGTGGGCTGTGCGTCTCGGGAGTAATCAGAGATAGTAGATTTAGCAGGATGGCAATTGACAGGGAGCGAGAGTGCCCACTTAGCCCCTGGGAACAAACCAGCACAAACTGGGTATAACTCAAGTCAGAGCAGGGCCAGGCTCTGGGATTTCTGTCCTCCGGCCCGCTGATCCCCACCTCCTCAAGGATATTCCTAACCACAACCACCGGAAAAGAAAAATTCTGCTGGGCTCTAAATGCACCATGCCAGTCACAAGGCCATCCTGGTTCCCTAGGCTGGAGGGGAAGCTAAGAAATAACAGTGGACTGAGACTTTGTTTCTCCATCTGTAATCAGATGTCATTAAACTAGAGAGCCACAAGAGAGTTTCAAAACCCTTGACATTTATAATCTTGTGAATTCGTCTGGGAGTGGGATTAGCAACGAAGATCTGACGATAGTATGAAAGATAAAAAATCTTGTCCTAATGCACAGAATGCTCATCTATGCATAACGTATAGATCAGAGGACATTGAACGGCAGGAAGAGGACAGCATGCCAACACAAACGAGTGAGATTCCAAAGGGGCGTGGCCTCTCTCCCTGATTTGTGCCAAATGCCAGCATTTGAGAGAGAAGACCCAACCCTTGTCGGACGCCATGTTGGAAGCTATGAATGGAAGCACTGAAGAAAAGTTACTGATTTTCTTTTGCATTAGAAATCCAAATTGTTTTCTTCTGATTAATCACTTAATCATTCACCTAGCAGGGTCTTTACACAATCCCCAGAAGACCTGATCGTGTCTGAGTTCAGCATTCGACTACAAGGACTCAAGCGTTTACCATTGTCTTTGTACTGTGGAGCAGGGAGTGGCTTTATAGCTTCTCCAGGGTCACACATGGAAGGAGCTGGTGAAGAGACCAAACAGAAGAAACCCAGGCCTCACCTCCCTCATCCAAAGGAATCAGAGATTAGGTCTGGTTACTTACTCTGTGTGCTTGTAATTCCTGGTGCCAAGGGCTCTGGCACAGTCAGGACTCTGGACCAGCAGAAATCCAAATGGATCAGCATGAGCTCACTGTGTACCCTATGAACCCGGCCTAAGATATAAGGAATGTTATGCCGAACTTGGAACCCAAGGTGAGGTTAATATTTTAACCTGGCGAACGGCCACAGTGAAGAGCTAAGAGGGACGGTGTCTGGTGACATGCACTTTGGACTCTTGTTCTCTCCCCTTCAAAGAGTGACACCGAAGAACCATGAAGATGCCACTGCAACTCCCTAACTTAATTTCTGTTTTGCGGGAGGACGTGCTTAGAGGTGGCTGTGAACGACAGCCGCAACAGATGACTAGTTAGGTGGAGTAATTTAAAAACTATCATTCAGTGAATTAAACAATGCAAAAGCGAGGTTAGGGACCTGCGGGAGAGCTTCGTGGCTCTCTAACCACAGGGAGCGTAACTGACCAAGGGCTTGAGCTGATGTCCTTGAAGTACCCTGCTGGCTCTCCGCCCTCTCCCCCCTGAGCTGCTCCCAGCAGTGACTGATCTCTCAGGGGGACCGAGCAGATCATTCGCCACAGGGCCCAGACTTGTCTGATGTCGCGAGGACCTCCCAGGCCTCTGCAGCACCTTCCTCAGGCTGCTGCCACTGTTGGGGGTGTCCCTACCCTGCACGTCTTCCTTCTCTCCTTCACTCAGGGTCAGGGTCGCGTGGCCAGCTGACGACTCCTCTAGCCTTTTCCCGCACTCTTTCTGTTTTCCCTCATGTAAGTGTTTTCCTTAATAAAACCCTGGCATATTTAATCTCATTTTTGGCATCTGACCTGGCCTAAGTGGAATCCCATCTCAGGAGCCTATTTTTTTTTTAAGCCTCCTTGATCAGTGACCTGGTCCCAAGGCGGACTGGACAGGAGAGTGAGTTATGTTCTGTGTGACACTCTCCCTTCCAGGAATCAGCCAGAAGCTCTGCCCTTGGGGGGCGCAGGTCAGCGGCAGCATCTTTCAGGATGAGAGACCAGATGTCCGGGAGGACCCTCCTTTGCCATCCTCACTGTAACAGGAATGCTGGATTCTTTCTAGGTTAAGCTTTCATAATCTTCATTATCTGAAATTTTATTACATTATCACGATCCAAGCGTTTAAAAAAAAAATCTTTATTTTTTTTTTATGTAAAGAGCAGATGCGACATATTTGGCTTTTGGTAAGAAAACTGAGGAGGAGAGTTAAAAGAAAAGATTAGTAAGGGGACCAGCACAGGAAGAGATTTTGGAGGAGAGTGGTAACCAGCTAACATCCCTCACGGGAGAAACAAGCGCTGTAGACAGCATGGCAACAAGAGGCACCAAGACCGAACCCAAGGACGAATTTGGTCCTGAGGTGTGGACAGAGTAATGGACTGATCTCTGAAAGCAGCTTTTTTTGGGGGGGGGGGGCGGCGGGGAGACCTCAAAAGAATAGGTCTTAAATTTCAGGTATCCAAGAATCTTCTAAGGAGCTTATCAAGGAGATTCTAGCTGAGATTCTGATTCAGCAGGTCTGAATCATTATTACATTTATGTTCAGGATGTAAGCGCTTTTATAAACTCCCTGAGATATTCTGATTCAGGCAGGCCGTGGATTATAGTTTGGGACAAATGATCCTAGATGGTTCATTTGGGATAGTTTTTCATTTCAGGATGTATGGAGGCAGAAGAATAGCCTCGGATGAGTCCTCTTTAGTTAATCTCAGACTCTGGAAATGAACTATTTCTGTTCTTAAAAAGGTATCAGAATATTCGGAAAGATTTCAAGAGATCATCCTATTTCTGAAAATTTCAAGGCTATAAATTTAATAATTTTGTCCCAATGGACCTCTTTTTTCCCCCACTGATTCAGCGTCCACCTGACAATTGTTTCTTGATCTCTTTCACTAGAAGTAGGATCTGACAACCACAAGTATTTCGCTGGGCAGTGGTGATGAAAAACAGGGCAACCCCTGCCCGTCACAAAGCAGGGACTGGCAAACTTTTTTTCTGTAAAGGGCCAGATAGGAAATATTTCGGGCTTTATGGGCCATCCTGTTTCTGCTGCAGCTACTTAACTCTGTCATTGTAACTTGAAAACAGCCACAGGCAACAAATGAATAGATGTGGCCGCGCTCCAATAAAACTGTATTTACAGAAATCGGTAGTGGGCTGGATTTGACCCACAGGCAGTAATTTTCTCCTCCTGCTATAAAGATTTGATAAATTCTATGATGATGATTATATATTATTATATTGTTATATGGCTTACAAATAATCTTTAATAGTTAACATGTAATCAGCTTTTAATCAAGAACTCAGTATATACACCATCTGCAATCTCCCTTAAATGAATCTGCTAACAAGAGCAATGAAAAAAAAAATCTTGCACCTAAATGCTGATGTCATTTCAATGAATTTTAAAGAGAAAGTTTCCAGTGACAGAGATTGCCATCACATCGTCCTTAGTTTTTGAGGGAGAAAGCTGGGTCAAAGTGAAGGACAATGTCCACAGAGGCTTTGGAGAAATAAGAGTAGAAATTTGCCTAAATCTTTTAATCTCTGATCTTTCCCTTCTCTTTGAAGCCATTGGTCAGGGTTTATCTCCCAAAGCTCTGTCCGAGGAGAGAATGGCCTCAGGGGATGTTTATTGGCTGTAACCAGATGTTTATTGTGATGCTCAATGCCTATTGACAGTGAATTGCTTGTGTATTTTTTGGACTTCAGTCCCAAGAAAATGTTTGTGTCTCCTAACAAAACAGTATGTTTCCTTTCATCCGAGGACAAAGATTACATATTGCTTCACTTTTTACTTTGGTTATCTGTAAGGCTAGATCTAAATATAAGGCTCGATCATTATAATGCTTTTCATCTACTCGGGAAATATACTTTTTTCTCCTCGATACTTGTTTTTCCAAAATGTCACTGATTATCTTAAATGTTATTGTGTCTTTCACTATAAATGCCTTCAAGTGCTTTTTAGATTCAGCTTATGTATAAATCAAATATGATAAATAAAATTAATCAGATCATCTTTGCAAGGAGTACTATTTTTTTTTTTTTTTTTTTGGTAAAGTTCCTGCGTAAATAACATATATATGATTATAAATAAACTGTTAAGTACTTTATCGATACTGGAGGTTTTTGTAAATAAGTATGTTATGGGGCAAGGTTATGGTCTTTAGTTCTAGAGTCAAGCAATCTCAGTTCCAGTCCCAGCTCCATCACCAGACCAGCTGTACGGTCTTCCGCATGCGATTCAACTTGAGTCTCCGTTTCATTTCTGCAAGACACGCCACACGCGTCTCACAGAACCTCTGGGAGAACTAAATGAAACGGCACTTGTAATGTACACAGAGCACAACGTCTGGTCTACGATACTGCTACGTATGTACAGAGAGAGCTGTCACGGCATGTTCATTTTTATTTTCATAGCAATGTTTCTGTCAAAATGTAAGAAAAAAATCTAAGAAATGTAAGAAAATCTAAAGACTCTAAAAAATGCCCAGCTTTCAGTATGAGGCCCTAAAAGTCTGCCTGAGCATTGCCGTTGTTTTAAAGTCTACCCTCATCATCTTCTCCGGTGTTTTTGAGTGATTGCCCACTAAGCGTAAATTTAGAATATCGATTTAATATTTTTTCTTTTATTCTGTTTTTTTTTTTTTTTTTTTTTTTTTTTTTTTTTTTTTTTTTTTTTTTTTTTTCTTTAAGAGGTACTGACTGACAATAAAGCCAAAAGCTGTAGGCTGACAGATTAGAACCACAGAAATCGGGAAAAAAAGGCCACAACAACAGCAAGAAGCCCCAGGATTTTCAACAGGAAGGAAACTGAGAAATTAGACGAGGGTTCTAGAGCCCGGGTCTTTAAGGGCTTCAGTATCCTCTGCTTCTGGGTGAGGATGGCTCTCCTGGCTCCTTCCCACTGCCCGGGCCCCACCAGGCGGTACTGATAGGAGTTGCAGGGTCCAAAGTAGACTTTCACAGCCAGTTTAGGGTCTTTCAACAAGAGAGACAGGAGCTCTGGCTTCGCACCTATCTCTAAAGCGAGCTCGTCCAAGTAGCTGATGTAATTGGTCTGCAGTATCTGGCTCTGGCTCTCCCCAAACCTTAACGAAGAAAGGAAGAAGGGCAGATTCACGAGATGTTCTAAGTTATAGAAAAACATTAGGCATTCAACAGCTAGTGTAAGAATGAAGGAACGAGCGAATGGATAAATGAGTTCTTAGGGAGTCTCCGGTGTAAAGCATTGGCTTATCTCATCGGGAGGCCCATGTGTCAGATTGACTGTAGGCTGTAAGATAAATAGCCAATAAATGACCATGAGTACATGGAAGTCCTAGGGATGCGACAAGATTTACAATCACGATTAGTATTTGGTATTTACTACGCAAAGGGCCAACTAGTCAAGACTGCTGCCAAGATTCACGAGATGACTGATGCAAGCCTAGCTCAGGGTCTTACGCAGAGGAGACACTTACTATTTGCTTGTCAAATTATTAAAGTACCTGGCACTCTGGCCGGCACATGATACTCAATAAATGTTAGGTGGATTAGAACATGAACACGAGATACTCCCTTCACGTGACCTAAGGCTCCGAGTCAACTTTCCAAGGTCACTCGATCTCAACTGAACCTCATTCCACTTTGTCACAAAGCAGAAATCCTCGAAGCTTCACGTCACACTGGCCCCTTTCTGATTTACTCTGATAGGTGAGACCCCAGCTAACTTCCCAGAGATACTTAGGCTACTGTCACCACTGTGGTCCCCAGCCCATTCTCTCTAACCACAGGGCGTGGGTGGCCTTAGAAGACGTGGAATCTAACAAAACTGAAGTGAAATCAAGTCAAGGGAAAGCGCTCTGATTTGGTAAAATCCTTATCTTTAAGTAGTCAGTTCTTAAACCATTCTGTGTAAGAATCACCTTGGAAGAACATAAACATGCAAATGTTCAGTCTCCTCCAGAGATTCTGGGTCACTTGGTCTGGGCGATGGCCTTGGCATTGGCGTTTTTAAGAAGCAGCTAGGTAGATGCTTCCTATAGGTGCTCAGAGCACTTTGCTTTGAAAAACACTGCTCTACGTAAAGAATTAAAAAAAACTTTCTTACAGATCAATTCTTTTTTTGTGCCTCTCGATAATGTCTTCCATCATAGTCTTCTCTGAAGGCAAGGTACACAGGCCTGGAAAATAAAAGGATGGCTTGAGTCACAGGTTGGGTTCAGCGTCATTGCTTTATGTAGTTGTTCATTCCTACACTTAGACTCTGGCCATCTCCCCATGTTATACCCGTCAGGGCTGCTGTGTTGTTGAGCTTTGGGCCGTGCCATGCCCATGGTGTTGCTGCCCATGGAGCTATAGCGTGAACTCAGGTGGAGGGGGAAGGACGAGAGGCTGGAGAAGGAAGGTGAGGCCATGCCAGGTGGCTTAAGCTCCAGCCTGACGGGGATGGGGAGCCGTGAGAGAGTTTTCTGCAGGAGGTGACAAGATCAGATTTGCCTTTGAAAAGGTCCTTCTAGCTGCTGAATTTCAGAAAATGCGTTCCAGGGAGGTGAGTTGAAAGGCAGCGAGACCAGTTAAGAGGCTGCTCAAGTAAGAGGGTCACAGATTAAGATAGGGCAGTGGGGACGTAAGAGTTGTCACCATGTGCCATGACTCCATCCCCCATCCATAAGTGTCCCCCGAGCTTTGGATATGTTGAAAAATGGTCAGTCGCCCCCGGATGTGGCTAGTCATCTTGGACACAGCGAGTCCACAGCAGAGCTCGCCTTCGAAGCCCCCTGCTCAGACTCGCACCTTTTCCTGCCCCTCCCCGCTCTGTATTTGCCCCTGCCCGCCCAGTTTCCGTGGCCAGAGACAGCCGGTCGTCACCCTTGACTCCTCCCTCTTCTTCTCTGGTCTTCCCACACGGAGCCAGTCGTCCATCCCGCCGACGTTAGCCTTGGCTGTTTCCCATATGTACATCGCCTCCTCTCCTTCGTCTGTCTGCCTGGAGCGGGTTGCGTCACGGTGTTTTAGTGTGGGCTATTACAGTAGGCTTCCCACTGGTCTCTGAGACGCCATTCTTTTCTCCTTTCAAGTCTGTCTTCCACCCAAATGCTGAAATAATGTATCATATGTATAAACTGATCATGTCTGTCCCTTGTTTATAACCTTCCATCGGGTTCTCTGGCTGGAGAGCTTTCTAAAACGGAGATCCTAGGTGCTCAGGTCAGCCTTAATCAGGGTCCCTTAAGGGGCCACCAGATGACTTTTATGTGTAGGCAGTTTTGGGAAGAGCTGATCGACATTTTGTATTTAAGCTCCTTAGCATGCCTCTCAGCCCTCTCTGCCTTACACGCCATGTTCGAGGCATGTCAAACAGCTCAAAACTCTCCATCTGCGTCATGGCTCTGTACTCATGCTTAAGTGAGTCTCTCTTCTGCAGCTGAGAAATTCAGCCCCCTAGAAAGCTTTCCTGGACCACGTGCCACCCTGCTGTTGCTAAATGCCCTTTCTCTTCTCCCAATGCATCCATGCATTCCTCCATCAAAGCATCTGTCTTATTATATTGAAATGATCTGTTTAAATTTCTCTCCATCGCCACCAGGTTCCAGTGCAGAGCTAGGCATTTGATGAGCTGAATGGACCCTGGGCTCAGTGAGATAATAGCCTTCCAAGGAGTGGGGAGGGCCACTCAGAAGCCGAGAGAGAAACCTTTCAATAATTTCAAAACTTTGGAGAGATCTGTGAGGTTGAACTGCTTGGGTATTAAGAGTTAATTTGAAATGAAGTGCGGAGTAGGCCCCACGTCTCTTGATTTGCACTTATTTTGAGGAATTTATAAACATCATGTAGGTAAAGCCAAGAGTCATGTGTGTTTTCTTAGCGATTCTCTCATGATTCAAAGAAAGGATAGCATGCATTTAGCTTTACGCCAATTGAAATTCTCTAAATTTTCCAACGTTTTAAAGAAACGAGTCAAGATATTTATTATTATTATATCTCTGTATTTGTTATTTTGTGATTTCCCCACTGACTTTTTAGGATGGAAATCTTATGAGAGCAGCCAAGGAGACAGCCTTCTTGTTGGCAACTTTCTTATCTAAACTCACTACTGAGCAAACTCCACAACATATGAAACCCTCAGCCCCTCACTTGCCTACTCACTCACCTTTGAAAACTCTCGTCGCCCAACGAGCTTGGAGTTCAACAGTTGGGAAAATGGAACCAAGGGGCTGGATGAGGCCAATGCAGGCAAGGGTTGGCTTCTCATGGTGAGGAGGGAACATGTATTTAAACAGCGAGACCATATTATTCTCTACTTTAACGAGTGAATCTTCAAGGAAGGGAAAAGAGGGCGTGTATCCTGTTGCAAAAACAATGACATCGATGTCCTCCTCCACCGTCCCGTCCTCAAAGATGGCAGAAGTTTCTGTGAGCTCTCTCACTTTGGATTTCACCTTGATGGCTCCACGGAGTATGTGACTTGGAAGCTCATCGTTTACTATGGATTCTTTCATCAGGTTTCTGAAACACACAGAAGAAAACACTCAGAAAGAGCACTTAATGAGGAGTCTTGATCCCTCTTGATATTTATGGGGTTGGCTCTGTAAATAAAGAGGTTTCTCAGATAGCCAGAGAACTTTCCAACTTGATTAGTTGGCCTGCTCCAAACCTTATTACCTGACTTTATTTTCGTAACACAAATCGCTCCCTTCGACAAAGGGAAACCATGTAGGTGATGGGCGGGGGTTGGGGGGAGTAAAAGATATTTCAAAAAAGGGAGCATCTCCCAGGTCTTAGACAAAATGCCGGTGCCCGTGGTCAGTTCCAGGATAGTCCAGTGGTTATTAGGCAATTGATGTCTCTAACGTTCTTCTGTGCCGCCGACCTTTAGTCACCTTGCTGTCCCCTTAATCTCTGTCTGATCGTAAGTAAGGAGGGGAAAACTTGTTAAATTCCCATTACTTTTGAAAGCTAGAAAGGATCAGTGTGAAAATTAATATATAGAATTCAGTTTGGAGATGTTCGTTAATCCCAAATATCCATAAGTCTCTGTATATGATAGCATGGGTGATGAAGCAAAGTCCGTTAGTATTTCTTAAATTTTCTTTTCTGTAGATTTGAGAACCATTTCTTTAAATATATATATATATATATATATATGTGTGTGTATATATATGTGTATATGTATGTGTGTGTGTATATATATATGTGTGTGTGCATATATATATGTATATATATATACACATATATATGTATGTAAGACAATACATGCCACATGCATCAGATCTCAGAATATAGTAGTCGCATGCACTTGTCAAAAGAGTCTAAAGCCCCTCCGTTTTATTTATTTATTTATTTTAAGGGAAGGAGCCTGTTACCAACTAAAGAAAAATAAACATCTGTGATGTTTGCTTGTGATCATAAGGTCAGTGATGTATAATTTTGAGATAAACAGATTTTTTTTTTTTTGGCAAAAAAGACAGTGACTCTGCTCTTAAAAGCCGCTCATGGGAAGAACTCGTATGATGTACAGAGTTATCAGATGTGAGTTATCAGACAGAGAATCTGACACGCATTTCCCATCACCACCCTCTGAACAGGACATCACCGTCTCTTAAAGCGGCCTTTCTAATGTTGGACAGCTCTGGGTATTGATGAGTTCCTCCTGTAGCCTAGTTCTTTTCTGGAGTAGCTTAAACCCTTTCTACTTGGCCTTCTTATGTATTTACTTTTTAAAAGGCACACAGAACAAATACGGAGATCCAACTCTGGGACCCACGTGATACCCTATGCTCTCGGGCTGTAGCTCAAACTACCATGTTCGCAATTTGGCTCTCTGCAAAGAGAGGCACCTCTCACGACCTCGCTTACCAACGCGTATACCGTAAAAAAGCAAAACAACTCTACTTGTTTTGAGGCTCGAGGGCATAATTTTCGTGGCTGAACCACCGATTCATCTGTTGGTTCCTCATCCATTTTACAACTATTCGTGGCAGGACATCTTGGAGCATGGACTTAAACCGGGTGTGGAATATCATATCCCAAGGATAGCCGTCTTTGGAGATACGGCTCATGGTCCAGGAGCCTCCTCTGGTGCTGATGAATACCTGGTAAGCAAAAAAGGTTCCAGGTGACGTCAGGGCATCGTCTTTTTTGGGAGGAATGTTCTGTGCAGGTGATAGATCATGTGTGTGGCCCCAGAATTTGCTGAAATGTTTTGTTTCAAAGATGATTGACCTCCAGTGAAGCACTTTCTCGTCATCACTGCTCTGTGGCAACTTTTTATAAAAGGAGGATCCAGGGGTATTTACACGGACAGAGGAAGACTGCAACAGCCTTGGGAATTTTCATGGAAACACGAGAAAATCTTTGAGCTAATTCCAGTTGTGAAATCCACAGGTCTTCGCCACATTGACAGTTGTGGTTCGATGCTCCTTACCTCCTCTCACCTTTTCCACCCACCCAAGTTTTTCTTTTATAGTGAGGGTGAATAATTATAATCCTAGGAAATGGACGATTACAGCCTAGTTACTATGTAGGCGTAAATGCGTTTACGTGGAGTGGCAATAAGAAGGAAGATCGGCTTCCTCCCGTACTTAAAAGAACTTTTTACATATTTGAAATGTTAAAAACTCTGAACTTATACTGATTCTCATTCTCTGCAAATGCTCATCCGAATCCTCTTTCAGATGTGTTCTGGTTCCTCTCGTTTTCAAAATACATTTTGAAATATATATAGTATATATTTTCAAATACGTATTTAACCTTGCTTACTCCCCGCTTGTCCAAATTCACATTTGAATTGCTTCTCAAAATTTTACAGCCCATTCTGAGTTCTGTATTAGAAGGCTGTCCTATATAAACACTTAAACATTGATTCGCTTGTAAGGAAACCGATTCACTTAAGAGTTTAGGATTATGGACTCTACAGCCAAGACCTCAGATCTAGACTTCGTGGATTTGAATCCCAGCCTCACTATTACTAACTGTGCTGCCTTTGGCATGTTATTTCAACCTCTCTATGCCTCAGTTTCTCCCTCTGCAAAATGGGGGTAATAACAGTACCTGGGATTATTGCGCAGATTGAGGTATACGCAAAATACTGAAAATATTGCCTACTAGCTCTTTTTCTTTTGTGAATTTTGGCTGGAGGAGAGGAGTTGCACATCGTGTCACACATCTGCAGTAAGCCGAGTTTGGAGACAGATTTTTTTGGGAAGGATCTCAACAAAAGTGGCGCCTACATAAAACAGTGTTGAATTGTCAGTCTGTGGTCAGCTGCTGCCCTTATGTTGACTTCACAATAGTCCCTAGTGTCTCTTTCCATTACCTATTGTCTCTCCTTTTTCCTTGGCACTGACTGATAGGCGACTTTGACAGGTCCCAGTGTATCCCCTTCATTAAGCACCTGGTGAGGCACCATATTTGTTTATCACGTTTGCTACTGGGCCTCTCAAGCCCCGAAAGTGTGAAACTCAGGACAGGACAGTTTTGCGGGGGTGTGGACTTGGGCGTGGTGAGTCACGTGCAGCCAGAAGATGCAGGGCCGCGAAGGCTAGTGTGTGCGTGGCAGAGCTCCTGGGACCCAGCCCTGCTCTGGGGAATGCTCTGGGGACAGGAACCTTAGCTCTTTTCCCCTCTCGGCTTAGGTCTGTGCTGCTGGAAGGGGTTTATTTTCTGCTACTCCTATCAGCATTATCTACATCTCGCAATGTTTGGCTCCTTAGCAGCTCTGCTGTGTCATTCCTGAGCAGGTGAAAAGACAGCAGTGGTTGGAAATCCTCGGCATGCATCTAAATATCTGTGGTCATGAACGAGAGTTTTACGTCTATTTAATTTTTTTTTATGTTCCTTGGTAACTGATGATTATTTGCATTTCAAATACAATTCAAATATACACTAAATTTCTAAATGGCACTCCCCAAAATGTGAACAGGTCAACTTCTCACTAAGCTCCCTGGGTTGAAAGAAGTCATCTGGTCCAAACTTCTCATTTAAAAAATGAAAGAACCATCGCCTGGAGAAGTGAAGTGACTCATGCTAGGCTACATGACTGATAATGGCAGAGTTGGAAGGGAAACTCTGGTTTCTTGACTCCCAGACTTTCCATGATATCACACTGAGCAAGTGACCAAGCAACCATCCAACTAGCCAGCCAACCATCCAACCAGCCAACCAGCCAGCCAGCCAGCCAGCCACCTATCCACCCACCCATCCATCCATCCGTCCGTCCATCCGTCCGTCCGTCCGTCCATCCGTCCGTCCGTCCGTCCATCCATCCGTCCGTCCGTCCATCCGTCCGTCCGTCCGTCCATCCGTCCGTCCGTCCGTCCATCCGTCCGTCCGTCCGTCCATCCGTCCGTCCGTCCGTCCATCCGTCCGTCCGTCCGTCCATCCGTCCGTCCGTCCGTCCATCCGTCCGTCCGTCCATCCATCCATCCAACCAACCAACCAACCAACCAGCCAACCAGCCAGCCAGCCAACCATCCAATCGACCAACCAACCATCCAAGCAACCAAGCAACCAACCAACCAACCAACCAACCAACCAACCAACCAACCAACCAGCCAGCCACTCAACCACCCAACCAACCAGCCAACCAGCCAACCAGCCAACCAACCAACCATCCAATGTGAATGAAGCCTCGATTACATGGCTCAGATTTTTCAATATGTCCTCCCCTTTCCTCTCCTCTATGGCTCAAGGTGAGAAGAGAGCATCGCACCTGAGCAGCCTTCTTACTCAGCTCCACGGCAATATCTGCTGCCGAGTTTCCGATTCCGACCACCAGGATGTGCTTCCCTTCGAATCCCTCTGGGCACTTGTATTGGCGGCTGTGGAAGTACTGTCCTTTGAACCTCCCAATACCTTCAGAAAAATGTCACTTGTTAATTATGTCAAGTTACTTTCAACCAAATTGCTTTTCCTTTCTGGGGTTGATCATTTGTTTGGCCGCTTCCCCTCTGATGGGAGTTACAATAGCAAGGCCAACTGGCAAACTCAAAGTATAAAGCACATAAGAAAAGTTAAGTACATGGTCCAGGAACAAAAGAGTTCCCAGGAGCTCCCCGCACAGGACCCTGTCCGTGGGTGTGGTTCCGTGGAAGAGGATCCGAGGACGGAATAAGGTCACAGGTGTTTGGCAGGATAGAAAAAGACCGAAATAGGCACATGGCTAAAAGAGAAGCAATGTGGGTGGGAGTTCTCTGGAATTTTGACTTTGGAGCGTATCAGCTGAGCTCCCTGTGTAACAAAGACGGTGTTTGGAGTCTTTCGTCCTTCTCACTCCATCCCAGTCTTAATGTTGTGCCCAAGTGAGCAGCTTATTCTGCCCGTCCACCCGGACTGCATACGAAGTGCCTAGACACGTGCTTTGAACAGCTGTGGATCGCCGGGCCTCACCTGGAAATTCCTCCAGTGGGATGTGCGGGAGGATGTGGTGGCCGCTGCAAACCATAACTGCGTCAAAGACAGAACTCTGCTCCTGGCCTTTGTTCTCGGTGACAACCTCCCACTGGCCAGAGGAGGAGAAATCTGGGCGTTTCTTCACACTGAGGACAGTTGTCTTAAACGAACACAGAGAAGGCATCATTGAGCATTAATCTGGCATAACAGGGGCCTGTCCGGTGCCCTGGGAGTGGTGATGGGTAGAATGAATGTGGGACTCTAGGTTCCATTTCAAGCCAGTTAAGGCAAAGACAACTAAGCATGCCCTTCACATTCTTCTTTGGCAGGGGGCCGCCGAGGACATGCTGTTTTGTGCGAGAGCCTGACTCAGCTCTGGGAACTAGTCTGTTCGAGACTGAATGAGAACTGCAGTGAGACACAGGAGAGCAAGGTAAGCTCTGGGCGAGGTGCAAAACACGTGTTTACCGTTCAAGTGGTCACACGGTGGCATTCATCAAGAACCTTTTATGTATCGATCTGTGTCAGGCTCTATATTAGAGAAGATATTTCACACGAAGCACTTTGCATAGTGCCCGGTTTGTTGTCGGTACTCCATGAAGGGTAGTTGTTCATATTTCGTGTTTTTAAAACAGAATACGTCATGTTAGCAATACTGCTTGTGATCTCATTTGGGTGAAGTCATTTATTGGTTCATTGATTTTTTAAAAATGTAGCTCACTACCTGGAGGTCTGCGAGTCTGTAAAAGTGTACACGAAGGTCATATGTCTGCCGTGTTTAAGCAACGAATGGCAAATGGAAGCAAAGCGTTTTCACTTTTAGAGGAATGGCGTGCTTCTTCTGTCTGCAAGTCCTCTATATGCGTCTCCTCTACGTGCTTTTCGAATTGTCAGATATTTTTTAAAGTGATGCATTGGCAATTTTTGAGGCTGTTCAAATTTAACAATCTATATAGAATATTAGCGTAAGGCATATGAACGTATTATAAAATATCTGGGCATTTTCAGCCGAGAGTAAATATTTCAGATTTGTAGTCCAGAGTAGTGTATTAGCTAAAGTACTGTGGATTCTTGCTACTGAAAACGCAGTTCGAGGACCCACACCTTCAGTCTCACTCGGAAGGTTATTAGGATGCAAAGAGCCTTTTACACTTTGAGTTGAGCCCCAACGTCTTCGGGTTTATGCCAACTCAGACCAGTGAATGAAAACTCGTTTTCCTAACCCCTCTTCAATCTATAAAAAACAATTACAGCACTAACACAATAAACAAGTGAGATAGTTCCCTTGCAATTCTAACATGATCTTTAAAAGATAGATAATATAAATGAAGTATCATAAGAAGGCAATATATCTGTCAAATAGATTGATAACTAAATGAACAAAGACAGCTTCTGGTGTAAAGAATCTGTAATTCATAGGATGGATCTACTAGGAATTGGGGAAAAATTACATTAGGTGGAACTGGCTATTTTAATGGTATTTACAAATACAGATTTTAACCAAAATCAGCTATTATAAATTAATATAATATAAACCTGGGATAAAACTAAAATTGCAGAGACAATGAGATGTGTTAAAAAACTAAGCTCCACTAAGAGTTATTTATTCAGAGGTATAATTTACATTTTATTTCCTAAGCACGGTTACTAGTTCTCCGAGTGTAGGTTATTGATAAATATTCAGCACGTTTTGTGAGAATATTGCTTTTTTGTTGTTGATTATTTATTTTTGAGGAAGAACAGGAAAGACGGTTTTAATTGTATTTCAAAATGATCTGGCCACCTTTCTCTTGCTAAGAGATTGCATCCGGAAAAAAGTAATTAGTAAGAGGAGTTTCTCTAAGCCTTCTTAGATGAATGGAGAACTGTGTTTATTTAACATGTTTTTCTAAGAAATGCTATTTCTATAGAAAAGATAAGAAAAAGAAATAGCAGTTTGGTATTTTCCTTATGTCCTTTTAAGGGAAATGTAATTTAACCACTTCAATGGTTATAAATATTAGTTTAAATGCAGTTCTCCGATCAATATCATCATCATTCAAACTTTTACTTTTAATAGATGATTTTTCTCTTCTGCTAATGCATGTGGTCTATAATAACAGGGGTAATGATCCTCTTTTTGGGGGTTTTCTATCATGCTCTTATCCTTCAGCAAATAATTGAATTCGAATACTTGGTTTTATTCACAATTTCTTTCATTATCAGAGTAACTTCTCTATTTAAATGTGATCTGAACTACTGTAGAGAAAACCATTCCCCCCAAAATACAATACCTGGAACTGAATATATTTTAGGAGATCAAACTTTTTGGCAAAAATCCTGAAATATTCCAGGAGCTTAGAATTATGCAGGAAGTTTGGAAAATCTTCAGGCATTGGAAAGTCACTGAAACAGGACATTTCTTTGCTGGTGTTGGTGATGACAGATTGATAGATGCTCGCTCGGCCGTCTTCAACATTTTCCTAAAGGATCAAATAAAAGAGGATAACTGTGCATTAAAAAAATCCCTTGGTTTACTCCTCGTTTTCTAAATCTCACCCCTGGGTGATGTGAGCCTCTTTCATTGCTGTAGGTGATTAAAATGTCTGGGTGATGAGGTGCAGTATGCGTTTCATCATCCTGTGGGATAAGACCTAGTTGGGGACTTCCTGTGTCACTCGCTGGAGGGGCTCTTGCCACTGGTGGGTTTGGGAGAGGGATCGATCCTTCTTTGGGCAGATTTAGCATCCCAGGTCTCTACTTTTTTAATGTCAGTCATGGTGACAACCCGCCCCCTTCTGAAATCCCCCCTGGGGAAGCTATACCCACCTCCCACCTCTTTAGAAACCGATAAACCCTGGAACATTGGTTAAAGAACACAATAGAGAATTTCAATGAGAATGGGTACTTTTGGGGGCAAGGAATTTTCCCATCTTGATTTGAATCCCCTGCCTTCGCTTTATGCTTTTATGCAAATCAACCTTCCTCAAGTGATAAAGGTGAACGGCATCAATACCAATCAAATCTTACACTTGATTTTAAATGTTAGCGAGTGTGCTTTGGCAAAACAGAAGGCAGCACATGCTGTGGTTGGGTTTATAATTTTCTCTGCAAGAAGTGGTCTGCTTAATGATAATGTCTCTTATGTTAAATCATGGCAAGAGCGAAGGATGGGCAACTCAATTTTCCTGATATCAGCACATTATCAAAGAGGCTTTTATAAGAAAATTTAAATAATCCCATCTAAGAATTCTCAATAGACACCTACGCAGAGACTAAGGTGTTATCCAGGCAAATAGTAATTGCTATTATGACTCAGCATTAGGGCATGCTTAAAAAAAGGGAAAGCTTATAGGAACTCATTAATTAATTGAAATAAATGACTTAATCTTAACATAAACAGCACAATAGTCTCTTCCACAGAATAGTAAATAAAGGAAATCTTAACTATGATCCCTTGACCACAATAAATCAATTGTGCATGTTCCGTTCTCGTCTTTATTCATAGAAAATTATTACTTTCCTGCCAATCTTTAGATCAAGGCTCCGTAGATTTTTGGTGACACTGAAAGAAGCAGCCCGGACTAGCAGAAGGAGCCCGGTCTGTGGAGTTAGACACAGGTTTAAATCAGACTGTGTGAGCCTGGCCCAGATCAGTGCCTTCGGCTGTGAACGGAGATGCACTAGACTCTCAGTAGTGGTGTGTACTGTGATTGAGGAAGCTATAAGCTTCAGCGAAGCTGTCAGCGACAGCTCCCTGTTCACTGCAGCACAAGAAAGGCACCCAGGGTGGCTGCTCTGACACCAAAGTAACTGACGAAGGCACACTCGCTATCACACCTGAGTTTTCTGACATTTTATGTACAAGAGGTTGGCCTTAATATTGTTACACCAACTCAAAAAGAGTCTGGATGATTTGCTACAGATAAATGATAAAGATTTTTTTCAAGGGTCTTAAGATTTGCAAACCGAAAACACAACTAGGCAATACTCAGTGTTCCAAAGAAGAAAGAAAAGCTGAGAGTTCTTCTAGTAAAAGGTTCGTTCTGCATTCTTAGCCTCTGGATTGATCCAAGATGGCAAGTCTCTAGATGGCCGGTGGTCTGGACAAACGAACATTCTTTCCTTAGTCCTTCACAGGGAGTAATCAGAGCATTATCTGAATGTGCGATGTGCATCCGGGCATTGACACAGGACTGGAATGTTCAAAAGTTTAAGTTCCCAGGCCAGTCAAAACAAAACAGAGTCGCTTCCTCAGGCCTCAACCTGCTTGATTTTAATAATTTAGCAGCTCAACTGTAGTGACCCCTATTTTGTTTCTTCACCCTATTTCTCAATTTCAAAGGGTTAAAAAAGAGTAAACTGTGGGATCTTGCCTTTTGGACACTATAAAGCTCTTTATATGTGTTGGGCTTCAAAGTTCAGTATTTTAAGAAACCCTCCAGGTGTATCTTCTACTCATATGCATTTGAAAAACTCACTGTCAAAGTACCCACTTTGGCATGAAATTCGGTTTGAACTGGCAAAGCACACATGCCCATGTCCTTGTCAGCCCCCTATTCGATCAGCTTGTAGGGAGAGCACTTTGGATGATTTCTGCTGATGTGAGTCTGCTTTTCATGCTCTCAACCCTTTTGCTCCTGGCTAGGGTGTTCCCACCTGTTTTGATCCCTCGCTCAGAAGTAGCTGATACATAATCCTCAAGCTGTCACTCTTGAGTTCTGAGCTGAAATTTTGTTGAAACTTTCTTATCAAGAATGCAAGTTAGGGTATGGCTATAATTAGGGACTTAGGTGCCAGAGAGACCGAGGTTTGAATGCCATTTTCTCCAGCTGTGTAACCATAACCAAATCACTTAATCTCTCTTGGGTTCTGTTTGTCTCTAAAATATAAACATGGTTATTGTCGCTGTCATTTATTTTACTTTATTATAAGTTTTTAATTCCAAGTATCTCCCTTAATCTTCAAAATAGCAGTGAGGTAGTTACACTGTTATGTTATTATTCCCATTTTATAGCTGAGGAAACTAAGACACAGGGTTACAGGTAAGATCTAACGTCCAGAAGGAGGCAAGCTAGTACTTACTCAAAAGATTGTGGGAAGGAATAATTATAAAATCTTTACGGCTATCTATCTACGTATCATTTTCAATTTTTATACAAATTCTAAGGGACAGCTAGCAATACCAATATTTAGGTTTGGCTAATAGCATGAATTTAATGAACAAAATACGTTTAATAATATTGTTAAAGAGTTTCCCAGCTGTTAACGCTAGAGTGTCACCAGCAAAGCTGAGCCGGCAAACAGTTTATTCATCGGAGAAAAATAAAAGTCAGTAGGCATAAGAGCCCACGCTCTCTAAAAAAAGCACTCGCTCGACGATTGGAATAGAAGGGGTGTCTTGAGAAGAATCCCTGTCACTTCTGATTTGTAAAATATGTCCTACTATTCGTATATTGCTTTGAGAATGACAGAAGTGTCAGCTGCAAGACAGTTGCTGGAGCCCTAAGGACGGAACCTTTACATGGCTGGGTTTGCCCCTCGTTTAGGCTAATGATGACCCGAGGCTGTTGCCAGCCTGTCTCTTCCATTCGTGTGGAGCTGCATGGGATGAATCTCATCAGAGGGAACCCTTCGGGAAGGGACATCGGTAGCTGTCATTGCATGCGAAGCAAGAGCAGCACACTCTGTTCAAGAAACAAGGTCTCACTTACTTGGAACCGCCACAGTCCTCCGATGTCTTTGGTCCTCTCAAAGCAAGTGGGCTCCAGTCCCTCATCCACACAGCACTTCAGAGAGATCAGGCCACTGACCCCAGCTCCAATCACTGCCACTTTCTTTGCCATGGTCTCTGGCCGTGGATCAGTCAATCTGCTTCTCTGGGGCAAAAAGTCCGAGAGTCCTGATGGTGGTCAGGTAATGGGCTTTAAACGCTAGAGCAGTGGTCATTTAATAAGCGGCAGGAAATAAGTAAATGGCTCGCCGGTTCGATTCTCACGTCTCGTGGACTTTGTTTCAAGCCTTGTTTCGAAAGTCTTGGTTTGACAGTTAAAAGCAACCCGCTTAACAAAGCCAAATGATTCAGCAATATAGTACTAGGGAGACGAGCCAAACCTCCAGTTAGTTTTCTTAACAGCTGAGAGATTTTGAGCTTCAGCGCTCACAGCTGAGCCTCTCTCCCCAGCCATTATATACCTTGGATGCTCTCTTACCTTTGGCCGCGGTCTCGCTGTCTCCGTCTCTCGGACACAATAGTTTTCCCTGCTGGTTGT